AGATCTAGTACCTCACACCTGCTAGATAATGGCTGACCACTGAGTTATATTCCAGCTCCTGGAGATTTTAAGTTGGATGGAGGATGAAATTGATGTTTTTGGAAGAGTATACTGGTATAGGCTAACCTGGAAGGTAGAAGAATAATAAGAATTCACAGCCTCTGAAATATTAGTGCACAGAGAAAGAAGTTCAAAGAAAGTCCCCAATAAAAATTCGCTACTAAGAAGCTGTTTCACACAACTGAAAATCAAGAAACAAACACCAATCTTTACATTAGGTTGAGGCTTGAATCTGGCAAGTAGTTAGTTTATCCCAGATGATCTTGGAAAAGAAGACATAGTTAAATGTAGTCAAAATTAAAATGTTTTAATGCTGGTCTACTTTTATAGTTTATTTGTATTCAAAGGGTAATTTTTTAAAGCCCAACAATGCCATCATCTCATCCCGACTATTTTTCTTTACTATACTATACTTGTCTCACCATCTTACTACTGGAGATGGTTGCAGTCATAATTGTAGCTTGCATAAGATCTTAAAAACAATATTTATTTATCTGGGAGGTGATATATGGAGGTTAGAGGACAATTTTCAGGAGTCATTTCTTTCTTCCACCATATGGGACCCAAGACTAAAATTCAGATCACCAGGCTTAGCAGCAAGTATCTTAATTTGCTGAATCTGTATTTTCTACCTCATTTTTATTGTGTTTTTGTTGTTATTGTTGTTGTTGTTTTTGAGACCAGGTCTCCCCACACAGCCTAGGTATGTACTACCTCATTCAGCTAGTTCTCATTCTATTTTATTAGACTTCTTAACACTGCCTAGGCATCTGCATCCTATGTTCCTTTCCCTATGTCAAATACTCGAACAAGCTAGAGCTGCCTTTGGCCCCTTTTTTTACCTAGGAGCAGAGATTTCCAAAATGAAACTCATTTGCTTTTCCTCTGTCCTTCACTAAGCAAAATTCTCATTTTTGTTGGGTATGAGTGTGCACACCTGTAATCCCAGCATTTGCAGGCTGAGGCAGGGGGACTTTGAGTTAGAAGGCAGCTTGGTTTATGTAGTAAGATCTTATCTCAAGAGCTGGAGAGATGGCTCAGCGATTAAGAGCACTGGCTGTTCTTCCAGGGGAGCTGGGTTCAATTCCCAACACCCACATGACAGCACACAAATGCCCGTAACTCTATTTCCAGGGGATCTGACACCTTCACACAGACATTCACACAGACATACACATAGGCTAAACACCAATGCAATAATAAAAATAAATAACTAAAACAAAATAAAGATCTTATCTCAAAATTGATTAAGTAAGTAAGTAAATAAATAAATAAATAAAAATTCTGAAATCTGGGCTGGAGAGATGGCTCAGTGGTTAAGAGCATTGCCTACTCTTCCAAAGGTCCTGAGTTCAATTTCCAGCAACCACATGGTGGCTCCATGAGGTATGGTGCCCTCTTCTGGCCTTCAGGCATACACACAGACAGAATATTGTATACATAATAAATAAATTAAAAAAATTCTGAAATCTGAGTGTGCATGCTTGTTATTCAAGCACTGGGGAGGCAGAGGTGATGATTCTTGGGGCTTACTGACCAGCCTAGCCTACTTGGTAAGCTTAAGACCAGTGAAAGATTCAGTCTCAAAAACAAACAAAAAAGACAGTATCTGAAAAATAACATCTGAGTTTGTCCTCTGGCATATACTTATGTGTACCTTCACATGCATACATGTACCATACATGAATACACATGAAACCCAACCTTTGAGCTACCTCACCTAGATGTTAGGAAAAAAACTAATGGTTTGTCTTATAATCCTTCTAATATTGTTTCCACATTAACTCAAGTATTATAACATCCCATGGGGGTAAGATGGATCAAGAGGTAAAAGGATTTTGCCTAACAAGCCTGATGACTTAAGTTTGATTCATGGAACCCATCTCTGACCTCCACATTGGCATTGAAGCTTGCACACACACACACACACACACACACACACACACACGTACAATATCTCTAGCTCATCCAGAGAACTGGAGTAATCTCAAGAAGAGGCAATCAAACTATCTTAGGACATTAAGCCACTTGTTCTGATGGGACTGACCCGGAGTAGATAGTTTACATGGACTCTGTTCACGTTACTCCCATTTCTTCTCCCTCTGGATTATATTTTATGCCTTTCTTAGTAGCTAAATCCTTTTACCCATGACCCCTCTGGCTATCCTGGATGTAGATTTTTCTTTTCTCTTATCTCATAATATTGTGTGTGTGTGTATGTGTGTGTGTGTGTGTGTGTGTGTGTGTGTGTGTGTATACACATGCCATGGGACACATGTGGAGCCAGAGGACAACTTTCAGAAATAGATTCTCTTTTTCTAGGGGATTGAATTCAGGTCATCAGGCTTATACACGAGAGCATATTACCTGCTGAGCAATCTTGCCAGCTCTAGCTACTTCTTCATGTTTTTTCTTTCTCCCTATTAAAATTCTCTGTCCTACTTTTTGTGAGCTTTACTAGCTAAAGAGATATGTTAACATACCCAGGTATGCTAATTATTTACTTTTTCTAAGTGAAATATTCTTCTGATATGTATGCAGTGAGAGTCACTTGTGCAGCCGCATTGATGACCACTGATGACACATACTCCCAAACATCTCCATGGGGTACCTGCTCAGTAAACATATTTGCTGATAAAAGAGAAAGGCAAGCGAAAGTAATCTGAAACACTGTCATGCTGGTACTGTGCTGATGTCTCTCTTGCCAGGATATGGATGGCAAAGGCAAGAGGATCCCTGAGTCCAGGAGTTCAGAAGCATGGCCAAAGCACCTGAGACCTTTGAGACATGATGGAGAAAACAAACCTAAGAACCCATGAGGTGGAAGAAAGAGTTGGAGAGAGCCAGTGAAAGACCAGTTCCAGGCCTCACTGGGTTTAACAGAGTTAAAATTGTGGGTTGTTTAGATAGAAAAGATTTCTATCTTTATCTTGGAATAACTAGTGGTAAAACAGCCAACTGCACTGTGTTCACACAGCATTGGTGAGGTTGAATGGATCCCCCATCCTGTCCAACTTCCTGTGATAAAATGTTACATTTTGTAACCTGTTGTGCTCTGGATGTGAAGCATTTTTGCACAGCATTGTGATACTGTATGTTTTGCCCAGGTTTTACTGTAATGCTTCCTCCCATCATCCAGAGTTGACTGCAGAAGCCATAACAGCTGCGAAGACTTGCCTTTCTCTGGTAGACTGCTTTTCAGTTTTGTATGAGCATCTCAAGATGTCACTTCTTCCTTTAAGGTTTATTTATTTATTTATTTATTTATTTATTTATTTATTTATTTATAAAAAGACAAGGTTTCTCTGTGTAGCCCCAGGTTGTCCTGGAACTCATTCTGTAGCCAGGCTGGCCTCAAACTCAGATGTTTGCCTGTCTCTGCCTCTCGAGTGCTGGGATTAAAGGCGTGCCCCACCACATGCTAAGATTTATTTTAAATTATTTGTATATGTGTGTGTGTCTATGTGCGGGTTGTGCATGTGAGTTTAGGTGTCTTCAGAGGCCAGAGGTATTGGATCCCCTGAGCTGGAGTTACAGACAATTGTGAGGCACTTGTTATAGGTGCTAGGAACTGAACTCTAGGTCCTTTGCAACTGCAACAATGTGTCATTAACCACTGTGTCATCTCCCCAGTTCTTCACCTTATTTTTTGATCTTTTATATTAAGATCTCTTATATTAAGATCTCTTACTGAATCTGGAACTCACCAATTGACTAAATTGGTTGACCAAGAAGCATCAAGACTTCTATTGTTTCTACCTTTCATGTGGTTCAGGCACATGCTACTGTACTCAGCTTTTACATGAGTACTGGTGATCCAAAGTCAGTCCTCATGCATGTGCAGTAAGCATTTTACCAACTAAGCCATCTTCACAGTCCTTGATGAACAATATTTTTAAATAAAAATTTAATCACTAAAAGTACTAGAGAGGTATGGATAAAGTATCTTATTTGGTAATAATATAAATATGTATGTTGTTTGCCAAATTGCAAAAGGCATAGTACAATATATAATCATCTTCTCTCTAGATAAGTTCAATTTAAAATAACTACCCTACAAGCTGAATTACTAGTCTTTTTTTTAAAAGTTTATTTTTATTACATGTGTATAAGTGTTTGTCTACATGTATGTATGTGCACAATGTACATGCCTGGTGCCTATGGAAGCCAGAAGCCAAAGTAGGTTCCCTGAAAACTGGAGTTACCATAAACTATGGGTACTGGAAACTGAATAGAAGTCCTCGGCAAGAGCAGCTAGTGCTCTTAACTGCTTAGCTATCTCTCCAGCCCCTACTACTCTGTTCTGAGATTAAAAAAAAAAAGCCTGGGAAAGAATGCAATTCAACACATTGCCTCCTCAACAAGAAAAATATTTCAGATGAAATATACTATAAACTGACACAGGTCCACAAATTATACTGGGTAGCAGTATCTCATATCACCTCCTCAGTTTTATTTTGTTTTGTTTTGTTTTGGGGTGTGTGTGTGTGTGTGTGTGTGTGTGTGGCTTGTTATGTTTGTTTTTTCTGCTCTATTGATTAAATACAGGGCCTCACACATGCTAGCCAAGTGCTCCACCACTGAGCTATATCTCCAACCCAGCTCCTTCGATTTTAATTCAAGTCAACACAATTTTAAAAAGGTATTTTTCTCATGCCAAAGTTTCTGTATCATTTCTCATTCTTAAATTTACTAGGATTAATTAATTAGTATGTTTTTCTCTGAATTTTGCTCAGTCTTCTTATTTATAGTTTAGGATTCTAATACTGGTCAGAAGAATGTTATAACAATCAAGAATAGTAACATACTGGTAAAATTTTTAATTAGTAGATTCAGAACTACAATTTAAAAATAGATTGTATAATAGCACTAGTAAAATAACAGCTTTGAAAACTTTAACTTTGTAAAAGATACAAAATCATCTAGTCTTCGACACTGACCTAAATATTCCATCAGCTGCTCCGCAGTTATGATTTCCATCATTGGTGGAAGTTTCACCTGAAAAAACAAAGTATTATTTCTATAAAGATGTTTTTTATGACTGAATTGTTTCCGTTAGTCAAAAGCAAGTACACATGTGCATGCAGATAGACACAAACACCTACTATATAAATACATTAACATTCATGCTTATATAATAAAGTCATCCAGGCATGTGGCTCATGTATATACTCCCAGTACTCAGTAAAAGGATGACCTGGGAACTCAGAATGAGAGGATAGAATGGACTCTTATAGTTGTGCTCTGACTTTTACACATACTGTGATACATATTCACACCAAGACACACATGATTCCTTACTCACATCTCATATGCACACATACACTCTGAAGGGTATGTTAAATAAACAGAAAGGGATGATAAATGCCCCCAGAAAAAGATTGCATAATGCTTTATTAAATTTAAATTTTCTAAATGCTAATGAGAAAGGAACAGCTGTGGAGAGACATTGGATAGTAGAAAAAACTATGAAATTAAATCAGCCAATATTCTACAAAGTTATACTGACCTCGAATGGAAACCAGAACGTGTGCTACATGGGGAAGAGGTTCTGCCTTTGTTTCCACAGGAGAAGAAAAGCTATTGATACCATCAAAATTGATAAACTTGATTTGAACAAGAGATGCCTCTTAATTAGAAGAGATGATAGTTCATGAAACAGCATGACCGTTTAATCTAAACTAACCTATAAAACTAACAAATGCTTTTCATTTGATCAGAAATAGCTTGCCAAAAGAGAACTGCCCCAAAATGAGGGTTGGGGGAAGTGTTTTGCTTTTCTATTATCAGGAGAATAAAGAGAATAAAAAATTAAAAAAATAAAAATCCAGCTAAGGAATCCAAAGACCCCTAGACAAATGAGACATCTGAAGAAAATGGACAAATCATCCAGAAAAAAAAGTTTCAAGAAAAAGGGTAAATTGGCCTACTGATATATCACATTTCCAACAGAAACACATTTCCTCAGTCTTCCCAAATGTTTGTTTCTACTTATTCTATACAGAAAAATATATGGTCTTACAGACACAAAAATGGTCTTTTTGTAGTCCTAGTCCAGTTAAAGATTCATGCTTGCTTTGGAGTTTGAGTGTGACTCTCTTCTTCTCTAAATCCTAGCATGCTTATTAAAGTAAAATCCAAAATCTCTATCTCATGTCAGAAGAGCACCTGATTTGGGACAGAAGAAAAACAAATATTTAAGGACTATTTTATTGCCACTAATCTCATATTTTTTTATCTTATATTGACTCTTTAACAGCTTTTCTTAAGGCATAAATTTTACAAGATTAATATACACACACATATCTTAAACTTTTTGTCATGATACTAATGGTCATATAGAGTACTAACTAATGAAAAAGATTTCATCTACCTTCCTGTACATGATTTTGAGTTTGAGTCTTAATCAGTTTTCTGCACCAAATTATGAGCATGCCTAATAGTGACCTTTGAAGTCTGCAAAAGCAGGATGGGGTTCCACATTGATGATTACTCCAGGATTATGATAACACTTCTAAGATGAAATACACCAACTAAAGATGGGCTTTGGACTACAAACTGCTCAGAGCAATTTTGAGATGGCTAGATGAAATGATCCAGCCTCACAGATTACTCTAGCCAAGACTTGAGACAAACCCTGAACGTTCCCAGTACACAGAGATTGGAAAACAAATGATAAATCTACCTCTCCCAGGACTTGACAATTAACCCAAATTTTTCTTTTCAGAATCCCCTTGCCATGACCCCTAGACATCAGGAAGTAAATTTAAGAATACAATGCCCACATTCCTAAGAGGTGGGATGGGTGGGATGGATATTTGTCATTGTTTAAGGGGGCAGTTACAAGTTCTTATTGGTTATTTTGCTTATTATATATAATTTTTCTTATGATAGCTATATCACTATGTTTCCCTTTCCTGTCCAAAATAAAAAGGCAATAACTAACATTATTAATATTATTTGTGTTTTAATAAAGCTTGTCTGAATATCAGAGTGCAAAGCTAGCCACACTAGTCAGCCATACAGACCAGGCAGTAGTGGCACACACCTTTAATCCCAGCAGCCACATGAGTTAGCTGGGCAGTGGTGGTGCATGCCTTTAATACCAATACTTGAGAGGAACATAAAGTGGGATGAGACAGGAATTCTCTCTCTTTCAGCCTGAAGATTTCATAGAGGTAATAGCTCTCTAGTGGTTCCATGCTTTGCTTCTCTGATCTTACAGCTTGTATTCCAATATCGATATCTGGGTTTTTTATTAGTTGTGGTATATACATACATGCAGGCCAACACACACAACTTTTTGAAAGTTTTAAAAATATTCAGAATGGAAATTCCAAATAATTATCATATCAATATTAGGAAAATACCACAATTAAAAATATATTAGTCACTATGTTCTGTTCAACCAAAGAAAGTGTTTAAATTATCAATTTCTCCAATAGCTACCTTGTTAAATTGTTAAATAAGGCATTCTAAGTTTATGCTATCAAGTATGTTGATGACATATTAAAATGTTTTTGATCAATAATAAATTTTCAACATGATGTCTGAAAAACATAGCAGTGTTAGCCTCTCTGAGAACAGATTATGGTGTGGGAGAATTGTCTGTATTCTGACAATCATGTATTTTAATAAAATGTTGATTGGCCAGGCAGGAAGTCTAGGCGGGTCAACCAGACAGGAAGTAGAGGCGGGGCAATGAGAATAGTAGAAGGCTAGGGAGGAGGAAGCTCCCTCCGCCATTCCTGCCCAGACCACTGAAGACGTAACAAGTGAGCTAACAGCTGAAAAAGGTACCATAAAAGGTATGTTATGGCTAACATAGATGAGAATAATGGGTTAATATAAGCTATAAGAGTTAACAAGAAACCTGAGCTAATGGGCCAATCAGTTTATAATTTTATGAAGTCTTGTGTGTGATTTTCCTTGGGAGTTGCCGGTTGTGGGGTACCGGGAGGGACAGAAACCCCAACAAGCAGGCCCCCTCATATTACAGCAGCTGATGCTTAGTGTCCAATTATCTTTTGGATTTATCACTCTGTGAAAACCAAGATACACCACACAAGCTTGCTCATCATATTATTCTTAATAAATTTTATTCTCTGTAACAATGTATTCTAAAGAATAATTTTTGCTGCAGGCAGCATTCTAGTTACTGTCTAGTCCAATGCCTTATTGTAGTGTACTCAATAAACCATTCTTCCAAAAAAAGTAATTTTTTTAAACAAAAGATTTACTTTGTTTACTTATATGTACATATCTAAATGGATATGTGTCATGTGTGTACACATACTCAGAGGCCAGAAAAGGGTGCTAGATCCCATGGAGCTGGAGTTATAGGCAGTTGTGAGTCCCAACAAGGGTGTGGCAAACCAAACTCAGGTCCTCTGCAAGAGTTGTATGTGTTCTGAGCTACTGAGCCAGCTCTGCAGCCCAGTTCCTACATAACACTGAAGCGCACTTGCAAATCATAGCTTGCTGTGATTTTCTAACAAAAAGTTGGGTTTCTTACTCAAATTATTTATGTATTCTTTGGCCACATTTCAATATATTCTACATTTTTTGTATTACAGTGGCAAAGTTTAATTTTTTTAACAGACTCCTAAAACACAAAGCCTAAAATGATTACTAACTAGTTTTTAAAATTTTTATTATTTTATGTTATATGTATGGGTGTTTTGCCTGCATGTATGTCTGTGCACCATTCGTATGGTTGGTGTCCATAGAAGCTAGGAGCAGGCCAGAAGAGAGCATCAAATCCACTGGAGTTTGTGAAGGGCCGCATCCACATGCTCCATTACAAGATGGCGCTGGCATCCGGTTTCACCGCCAGCCAGGTGAACGCACATGTGCTCGGTAACTTTCCACTGCTGTCCCCGCCTACTCCCGAGGTTTCACCTGGGCTAATGGGCAGCGGCCAATCCAAGGGTGACACGTCCGAAGCTAGGACTGTTTCCTATATAAAGGAGGGGTTCCCTCATTTAGGGGTCCCCGGCCATGTTAGCTGATGCTCTCTCTCTCTCAGGACGCATTAAAAGCTTTTCTGCAGAAGAATCCTAGTGTCCCGCATGGTTCTTGCTGGCGAGACGATAGCGTGGGACAGGAGTTGGAGTTACAGATAGTGGTTGTGAGCTGCCACAAGGGTGCTGGGAATTGAACCAGGTCCTCTGGAAGAGCAGCCAGTGCTCTTAACCCCTAAGCTATCATCTCTCCAGCCCCACTAAGTAGTTCTTTACAGGACAATTTACTAACTTTTGCTTTTGACTATTCTAGTTATCATTATACAGTATTTATCAATGTATTTCAGTATCATATTTGGAGTGCTGGTATCTAGTTAATTTTTTGTATTCTAAAGATGAAACTCTCAATTTCACAGCAATCTGAAAGAGACATTCATACTTATTAATGTTTTCTAAAATTATTATTATTATTGGGAAAGGTCCTCACTATATAGCTTTACCTTTCCTGGAGTCCACTATGTAGACCAGACTGGCCTCAGACTCACAGAGATCTACTTGACTCTGCTTTCTGCATGCTGAGATTAAAGATGTATACCACCATCAGTCTGTTTCTACATCTTTTCACATTTATTTATTTTGTGTTTGTACCTGTATGGTGTGCCCATGTGCCTGGGGATACTTATGGAGGTCATAAGATAACTTGCCAGAGTCTATTCTCTCCTTCCACTATTTGGGTCCTAGGAATCGAACTTAGACTGTCAGGCTTGGAGGCAAGCACCTTTACCTGTTGAATCTTGGTGCCAACTTAAATGATGCTTCTTTTTTTTAAAAAAAAAAGATTTCATGAACAAATAATTTATCCTTTCTCAAAGGGCCTGCAAGATAGTCCAGCAGGTAAAGGCACTTTCCAAGCCCAATGACCTGACAATTAGAGTTCCATTCTCTGAACCCTTATAATGGAGGGAGAAGCAGGTTGTCCTCTGACCTCTACACATGGACTGTGGTGTACCCTCCCAATACATAAATAAATGTAAA